GGTTTTCCCAGCAAGACATTTTCTTACTATTCTTCAATTAATTGAAACAAATAATAAAATATATACGTTTGTTATTTTTTACTTAATTACACTTTATTTACAAAATTATATTTATAAGCAAATTTACATACAAATAAACAAAAAATATAAGCCATTTGCAAGAAACTGCAGTAAGCACACACAATTTAATTTCGTTTGAGGAAAAACAGTGTATCATTTCAACAAAATAATCCATGTTTTTATGTGTGTATGTATATAATTTGTTGTGACGAGTGAATAGCTCATATTTGAACGTTAGCCGTTTTTAATTGTTGTTATAAAAAAAAATTCGCTTAAAAAGTTATTTGATATTTTTTACAAAAAAACGAAACAAAAAGCAACAAAAAAAATTATACGACCATATCGTTTAAAAATTAAAAGCGAAATGAGTAACTAGAAACATATACAAGTACACAAAAATTCTTAAATTTATTTTCACATTAATTTCGTTTCACTTATACTAATTAATTGACAACATTCCTTCAACATATAAGAATTATAACTATACATATATAATATATGCATTAATATATAGGTTTTTGTAGTTCATTTAGGCCAAATAATATTTAACAACAACTACTGTAAAGCAAGAATTTTGACAAGTTTAGCAACAAGTTTCGTAGCAACAACTTTTTGCGCTACTAATTCTAGTTAATGTAATTTTTTGTATTTATTTTATTTTTTTCAAGGATTTAGGATCCTAAAGTAAATAAATGATAAAAATCGTAAAAAATTAAGTAGTTATTAAATCACCACAGTCAAGTTATATGTTTTTTATATATACAAGAAAAAGGAGGAAATATATATATGTACATGAGTTACAATAGTTGAGAAAAGTAAATAAAATGATAGAGTCAAGTACTACTAGGATAGCTTTTTGTCTTTAATCTGCTCACAACTCACATTCGAATTTAAATGAAACGCATTGAATTTATCGGCTACAGAGCACTGTTATTTGACAATAATTATAATTTTTATTGCCGTTAGTGAACTTTATACATGCTCTTCAATTACTTCTCCCATCAACTCCAGCTAATGAGTTTTTGGTTTTGATAGAAATTTGTTTTTTTTTGTTTGCTCTATTTAATGGAATTTTATTTATGTATGTATTTTTGAAAATATTTTAACCAAGTAAGCTACGCTCATTCTTTATAATTTGCTCTTTTGTTTCATATTCTCCGAGTGGTATAAATAAGTATTTTTTTTCTAATTTAATTGATGGCCACCTTATTTTTATTGATTTTTAAAATTTTTTTATCTTTTGCTTTTGATTTGCTTTGAAGTAATTATATACGTTGCTTAAACAATTTCTCACAGTGTATGTATGTGTGTGTATATACATGCATGTAAATGCTACCAGAGTATTGAGTATAATGGATACTAGATGTTTTTTGTAAGATGATGAAAACAGCTGTAGGTAGCATAGACTTAGATGAGCGCCGTAATAAGTTTGGCTTTGAAGTTGACGAATTTCTCGCTCGTTGCCGCAATGCGCTGTAAGTTAAAGAAAAAAAAGATTAGAATACATATGTTGAGCGGGTGTTGTCATGTATACTATTTTACTATGTACTTAGACACCAGTAACCACTTACCAATATCAAATCTTGTATCAGATTAGCCAAGCCTCTGTTCGCCAACACGACCAATCGTGTAACCGGTCCGGGAATACCTTCCGTGTAGCCATCAGCAGCACGATTCGCATCACTATCACCATCTGAATCACCACCGCCGCTTACACTGTTGGCGCTATTGGCTGCTTCATCGCCGGCTTGTGTTTGTACACTGCCAGAGAACAGCTGGAGGATGAAAGTTATATGGAAAAGTGATAGTTTTTTAATTTGGTATTGTTTAAGAAATTGCACGCATATGAAATTCCTGCAAAAATGTGTTTAATTAAGAGTAGTTACAAACTGATACGCAGTAATGCGGCAATGGATTATTTCAAGTCTCCGTTTACCGATCCCTATTCTTATACGATGTGGCAATAATAGGGAGCTCTACGAAGTGAAGGCAAGTTTTTTATTTTCCCGACTCTGCAAGCACTGTTTTCGTATTATATTTTGTAGTTCTCTTCTTGATATAAAAATCAAAAGTTAGTTTCTATCCGAAATTTTTACATAAATATGTCTGGTGACAGAAATATGACCTTGCAATATTTGAAGTATTCTTCATGGGAATTTGTTTTTATATTCATTTATTACAGATTTCTTTTCAATATTTTTTTTTCTTGTTTTCTATATATGTATATAATAAAATGCTGAGGGATGAATCCAACAACCTAAACCACTGAAAATAAAGACATCACACTTGGAGGATGTGTTCTGATACGAATTAATTTTCCGGGAAGTGGATATGGGACAGTAAATAAATTTTTTTTAAATCTTTCGACTTACACCGAAACTTGGTTCAGAGGTAGCTCTTAGATTCATTAGGGCATACTTTTCTTCTGGTAATTTAATTTGAAATCGTTCTATTGAGACAAATCATACTTATGGTTGGAGTTGCTTAATATTTGGACAATAGAGAGCTCTTTATCTAGGTCAATATGCAGAAATTCTTTTCAGGGTTTTGGTTCGAATAAACTCAACAAAAAAATCTTATTAAAACCATTGCAGCCGAACTTTTGTACTAAATAAAATGTAGAAATCTTCATTTTTTATTTTTTTGTTTGGAAATTAACATAATTTTTAAGATATATATTTTTACTGTTTTGAATATTTTAAAATGGCTAGATGGATTTCTTTTACATAGTAGCACGAAACACGTTTAACGTCAGACAGCTAGGAAGCTGGCTGCAAAGAGAGAATACTTTTAAATTATTGCACCATGATTCTCTTTACTTTCATGAACTATTTTCTATTGATATTTTTTTTAAATCGAATCGGGAACTAGCTCTAACTAATCACATTCACATATCTTGGAAATCATAAAAAACACTGCACTCGAGATGGAGAGGCTTCAACTTTCTATATTCCAAGAAAATTCACACAGAGCTCCACACTTTTCTTGGCAGTTTTTCGGCTCAAAAGTATAGAAGAGAAATATATTTTTTTATGATTTATATTAACTTCAAATTCCAGGAAGAATTGTGGTCTGAACTTTTAACAGTTTTCAAATCATTATCATAAACTTTTTTACAGGCGAAAGCAAATTGTAATTTTGACTTATTGCCTTTATCTGAATACGAGTATGTGCCTCAAATCATCGATACAAAACTCTATTATATAAGGTAGTCTCACTTCGAAATTTTTGACACTAAACGTGTTGGCTGAGAAATGTTTGATTTTGGAGACTTTTAAATTATTTTTGGGATTTGCTAAATAGATTTATAATATGGAAAGGATTGCCATTTTTAATTTTTTTCATAACTTAGGCTCTTAGATTCTCTCAACTATATGCCAAAAGTCCGTGGTTTGGGGTTCTGGTTATAGGGACACACAGGGAACTGCGGGGTCAATGAACTGTCCGAATGGGGATAGTCATAACCGCGTTTAACTCTACAGTCTGTTATCGATTTATCGGAAATTTCTTCTTCGACTACTTAGCATAGCTGCATGCCTAGGCATCCATAATCTCCTGAATTTCGTAAATTATACCAACAGGTTTGAGCATCTACTTATAAAGGTGAGGGAAATCTTCTTCGTAGAAAAAACATAGATATTATCAAGAGATCAGAATTGCGTGATCGAACAAGCTGTTTAACTAACTAACTGACTAATATTAATATATTTGGCGGTCACTTTGAATATAAAAGCGTTTGGTGGGCCAATTGATACTTTCTTAAAATTCACTAAAGTTGTAATAAGAAAATCATTAAAGGCATACACTCGATGAAGTCCACTATCAGGGTTTGGAAAATACGTGATTTTTGAATTTTTGAACATTTAAACATTTAACAAGTATATAAACATTTTTCTCATTTCTTTAAATAATTTTATCAGGCTGTAAGCAATATTTATTTTATCATGTCTGATATCAACAAGTCCAAATTGTCCTTACGAAATAATTTTTTACTATCTCTTTTTAAAACTATTGTTTCTTTTTTTTTGAAATGTCTAACCCTCAAAAAAAAGTTAGAGCTTTTTGGTAAATTGCGTGTTTCATGCGTTGAAAGTAATTTCTAAAGTGGTGAAAGTGGACTACTCTGATGCTGTGTTACTTTTATCCATTCGGAATACATTGTAATGTATCCATTCCTAATCATTGCACTATATATTTATGTATATTTTAATATACTTACGCGTATAATATCGAAGAGGAAGTTGCCTGAACCGCCGCCGCCTGCTGCAGCACCAGCGGCATTACCACCTGAACCGCCGGCTACGCCTGCACCGCCAAAGCTCAGGAACCTTTTGAATAAATTACTTTTGAAATTTTCATCATATCGGTTAGTGTGTTTGTGTTACCAGAATTTCTTTCATGCTTATGTATGTAGGTAAATACATCTTATACTCGTACGTATATAAGTATATATGAGCGTTATACATTAATTGTACGTGTTTAGCCAATTGGTTTTGGTTAAGTGTACGAGATCATAAACAGATTATTAAAAATTTTATGGTGAATATTGGAGCTTACATATAAATATTATACAATTTTCTATTATACAACTATTAAACAATAATAAAGATTGTTTTTTAATTTAATTTAATTTTTGACAAATTTTTTCATTTCTATGTACCAGCAGGCTGCGAATATTCACCATCAACATAGAACTTGTTGGGCTTACCTCTTATTACGATCATCTAAATCGGCTGCATCCTCATTCGAGTCCAAGGTAAGCTCATCAATTGCTGGTGACTTTGATTCGGTGAGGCGAAGGTCGTTGTTAACCGGTTTAGAACTGTCTGGTGTGACTTCGTTGTTAAAACTCAACTGAATGGGTGCATTGGGATCAGTTTTGCTTGGTATTGGTAATTGTGCTGGTATTGAAGATGGTGTTTGCTGTTGTTGTTGTTGGGCAATAGCTTGTGCTGCTGCTTCAGCTTCCTTCACTTGACGTGCCACACGTATTGTCTCCTCGAGTTGTTTATTTATGGCCGTTAAATCGATTTGTGTGTCTGTTGCACCATTCTGATTATCGGGGGAAGTGTATGTAGTATAGATAACCGACACCGCAACATCGTTATATGTATTATGTTGAATTTATGCATTACAATTTTTTATTTTTTTTTAATTATATTTCGTTGTTATTTTTAGCCAAACCAGCCATTTATTGTTATTGTTATTGTTATTGGAAGTTGTAGTGGAATTTTTATTGATTGTTTGTGGCAAGGAAGTTAGCGTCAAGGAATTTCACATTGAATTGCGATTTCCCAATTGTGATTTGTCGAAACACAATAATTTATTTTGTGGTTTTTATATTCACATATTTATTTACAAGATATTTGAAATTTTTAGTGTTTTTTTGTGTATTTTTTTTTATATAAAAAGGTGTGAAATGCGTTTTTTTTGTTTATCAGAGAGAGAAAAGTACAGTTATGGCAGCAAAGAAATTTTGCAAGTGGCGTTTATATGTAGTGTATGCCAAGAAGATACAATAAATTTACAGAGAAAGAGACAGTATGAGAAAAAGAGCGTGATAGAAATATAAAAAAGCATGCGAGACAAAGTGCAACGGTAATAAATACAAATACGAGCAGGACATGTGTTTGCAGTGTATTGAGGTTCAAGCGTGCAATATTTACAGTGATTAAGAAAGAATATTTGCGAAAAGTGGTAATAGATGCACGTGCAATGTAAATCGTGATTTATTTATGAAGGATTTTTTTTGTAATTTTTAAATAATTTTCGTTTGATAATTCAATTTTGAAATCTCAATTAAAATGCACAATTTCGTTTCAAAATTTTTTTTATGAAATTTATCAAATTTTTATATACATAAATTCACAATTTTTTTTTAAATTTTTGAGTTAAATTTTTGTTTTTATTTTTTTTTTTGTTATATTAATGTGTAGGTGGGTGTTTGGTTGGTGGATTATTTCACAGTTCGAATCATGGTATGCGCATATATATGGAAATAAAGAGAAAGAAAAGAGAAAAAAATAAAAAGCATGAGAATTATGAAATTTTGATAAAAGCCAATTAATTGGAAGATATTTTTTCCTCACATACATATAAATAAATATGTATGTTCTCTATTATTTAGCTATGCATGCCACTAATATAGGACAGTAGATGATGAGTAAGACTTTTCGTAAGCTCAATAAATATTAAAAGCTGTGAGAACAAAATTTGAGAAAAGTGTCTTCCCTTTTAAGTAAAGTGAAAGCTTTGTGTTCATAATCTACTGTTATATAAAAGTTTATGGACTATAAAGTAAATTTAAGTTAAATACCCTATAAAACTGTTATAAAAATTCATACGATGAGAAGTAGCTAACATCAAAACATAGACAATTTTGAAACGCATACAAATAAATTGCTTTTCAATATGGTTGAATAACGAAGAGTAATACTTGTCATGATTGAGCTACTCATTTTATCTTTTTCTAAACCATTTTCAAATGTTTTAAAAACATAAAGTTAGCAGTGGTTATGCTAATCTTTTCCAAATATAAACTGACCTAAAAAATTAGTGAGCCTAGAGCCAAAAAACTATTACATATGGAGCGAAAGTGTTTTTGCGTGAGAGTGAATAGAGGGTGAGAGAGACAGAAAGAGCACAGTTGTCGATATAGCATTAATTATGACAATTGAATTGATGAGTGACTTCAACAAAAGTAATTGCTGTAATGCTTAATGAAGATTTACAGCGCACGGTTGCACGATGTGGAACAGTTACAGATCAGCTGATAGCAGCACTGAACATACATATTTTGTTAAATAGGTTAGTCAAAGTAAATGATGAGAAAAACATACAAGTGAAATTTAAAGACAGTATGAAAAAGTAAAAGAAACTTTCATATAGTGAAAATGGTAAGTATTTTTATTCAATTTATTTATACATTAAACACATTTATTTAGTAATTTTCCTTCAGTGTGTTACACTGACAGTTGTTGCGTCTGTTGTAGCATCGACCATCTGGTAGCACAGTGTTTCTATATTTTGTGAATTTCTTGTGTTTTGCTTGTAGTTGTTATTTTTGTATTTTCCTTAAGTGCATAAATATATGTATTTAATTTTTGTTTTTTTTTTTGCGAAAATTTTGTGTTCATATTACAATTGCCAATTTGTTGAAAGTTGCTGCCAATTTTTCGTTAATTTTCAGATTTAACAATTTCTACGTCTCTGTTAACAATAAAAAAATAAATAAATTTGAAAATTATAATTTTTTTAAGAACACTTCAAGAAAGTAGTAGACAACATTTTCAAATGCACGCGACACTGCCAATTTAACAGTTACGTGTGGCAACAGTCAAATTGACAGTTCGTGCATCAAAGTCAACTGCACTCAGCACTGTGTATTTTGTGCCTTCCCTTATGCAATAACTACTAATACTTATTTCCGCTCTTCCACTCACATTTAGTGCTGCTGGTGGTTGTAGCTACACTAGCTGAAATATCGGCACTGCCCACCTCGTTCTCTTCATCATCATCGGGTGCGAACGTTGGCAATTCAATTGAGACGCGTGTACCGCTACCATTGCTCGTACTAATGCTGCTTGAACTGCTGCCACTGCTGCTGCTACTGCCACTACTGCTACTACTGCTGCTGCTATCATCGTCATCATCATCGAAGTCGGCATCGAAATTGGTGCGTGCCCGATTGGCTGTGTTGCCTTGCACGGCGGTACGCAGTATAGTGGGCCCCAATGTGCGCAATATTTTCGAAATAATACGATTCACTTGATCATCGATTTGCTACAACAACAACACAGTCAGTGTCGAGGTATATGTATGTACATATGTATGAATTTTTCGTTTGTATGAAACTCATATATTGCTAATACAATAATAATATTTTATTTCGATTTTTAAGGAAACAGTGTGTCGCTACGCATGCACTTACACTGTACATTAGTTGCTGATAGAGGAAAAGTAAAGAAACAGTAGGTGCAAAATGTAGGTACTATGTAGCGGGTAGGTAGTGTTGATTAGAGGAAGACAACTATTTAGACACGTTTGCTTTTAGAACACAAATGATTAAATGCTGTGGGGGAAAAAGGCCTGTACTCATGATGGAACTGTTGAGACCTGCTAAGACTTGCTAAGAAGACTTCCAAAAATATCTCTTACATTTATTTCTTTGAGCCAAATGAAAATACACAACAACTAACTCTCATGCCTTTAGGTTTATTGCAACAATAAAATGGTATGAGCTATAAATATAATGCGATTAGAAATTTGGTATAGCTATGTTGTTCAGAATTAGTCACGATTGTTTATTAAAATTAATGAAACAACATATCAACGTGTTTGGTGCTGTGAAAAACAATAATAACCAAACTTAAAAATATTTAACAAATTATTTTCACTTTTTAAGGTAGGATATCATGTGAAGTTCAAGAAAAAAATGAAATAATAATTTTATGTATCTTATATATCCGTACATAATTGGCTTCTCCTCCAATTTGTGGTTTTTTCGTCTCGATGTTTTTCCACCAAATGGAATTTATACTAAGCCGCCTCCGAACAGCTGACGGTTTTTTATGAGGGGACTTTATTTGATGTCAGAAATTTCCTTGGATGGGTTAACAATCCCTGTCGGGGGCGACCGCAATCAGAGAATTTGGATTTAACTTTTTATTTAAATTAATTTTCTGTTACTTTTTGGATGTTAGTACGACAACAGGATTTGAACCCGAGCATTCCGAATGTCAGTACGTAATGCTAACCGCAAGAGTAATATGTGGTTGCTATTTGTTTGAGAACAAATAAAACAATTTGTTACCACACTTATTTGCTCAGACTTTGTACGAAAACTAATCCGAACCAACCTCAACGCGAAGACTTTGCTTCTAAGATGTTGGGGACATAAAATATTTCTGACATATTTACATATAAAAATTCGCTTCAAGAAACATATACTCGTACAGTCCTTTGCTAAAAAAAACCGACGGTTTTATTATCCCTATTCAAAGTTCTATAACTTGAGTGTAAATCTTCTTAAACTATTTGTCATTCTTTTGGGTATAATAAAACCGTTTTAAATATATTTATTTGTATCATCATTAAACCAATAAGAGAAATAGTTGACTCGTGACAAGTGTTTTTATAAAAAATATGCCAAGGTCAATGTAAATGGGTGATGCTGTTGATGGAAAACTTGTCGCACTATCGCAGCAGAAATTGCCGCTCGTCAATTGTTGATAAAGCAGAATTCGGCAAATCATCTTTTTAAAGAAAGTTGAAGAAACGGAGCGAAAAAATATTTCTGGACACCGATAAAATACTACGCTTTCTTAAGACCGAATGATTAAGGGTCTATTTGTCCCGCACCGATTCAAATCAGACATCAGGAGAGAGTTCTTGGATGCATCTGACGTCGAAATAGACTCGCCTTCAGTGAGAAAATCTCACAAAAACACGTTTTTGAATGTAAAAATGGGTCAAAAACTATACTGATGGATAAAAATTCATGAAAATAGCACTGTCGAGCATTGGAAGAGCGCGATCTTTGCGGATGAAGTGAAGTCATGTGAGTTGCAGATTTTGCGAAAGCTACAAAACTGAATAAATCTGCCTACTGTAAAACAGTCAGTTGGTGGAATGGTGTGGGGCTACTTCACCTATGGTCGGGTGAACGCAGATGCTTACATTGGAATTTTACAGAGTATTTATTACCAGTCATTGAAGAGCGGTACTCACTAAGAACGAGTCATTGAAGAGCGGTACTCACTAAGAACGAGTCATTGAATAGCGGTACTCACTAAGAACGAACGTTTTATTGCAGGATGATTTTACGCCATTTGAGCGACTTTAAACTTAAGGCGAAAGGAGGTGTGACTAAATATTAAAACTGCGAGTTCTAACATTTCTTAGCTTTATTTGGTTTGAATTATTTAGTTGTAAATTCTTATAACAAGCAAGAACCGACAATAGAACTTTTGTTATTGAATATGCCAAAAACAAATGAAGTATGAAAATATTGAAAAAATCTACGAAGCGTATTGCTTTGACTACATAATGTTGTATTAAAAACGCAATGAAATATAACCGCATTGAAAGATATTTCATAAACTCGATACCGTGTCAAAAAAATTGAGTTTCCAGGCTCAGTTTTTTTTTTTTGCTCAGGACTAGTATATATTTTTATGGGTTATTGAGAAGTTTTTCTTGCAAATTCAAGTTAAATAACGAGCAGGACCGATTGCGGACAGGATATGAACTGCCAGAATCGACGAAAGAACTAAGAGACTATTTCACGACTGCTGCCAGAAGTTGACTCTCTTTGTCAACATTGCTGAGCAAGTTAATAATAAATTAATAAAATAATTGTCGCCCAAATATCATTCTACCGTAAATAATTTGTCAGTCTCTGGTAGTTCGCTGTAAAATAGTCTCTTACTAATATCGTATAGAGGTAAAATAGTCTCTTAGCAATCCCGTAGGTGGAACAAATGTCAATCGGCACGCCCCGCTCCTTTTCTTTGATATACGCTCTCTGGTATAAATACATTTTCTAAACTCGGAGGAGAAGACACTTGATGAATTGACTATGCGACAGCGTATAACATTACGTGATATCAGTTACATATAGTAAAATTGGATGTTAAATACAAATGTATGTTTATAATGTTCTATATAGAGAGTTGCTTTGAGATAAATTATGCTTTCATATAATCAATATTTTTGCCTTGCGGCTACTTCATAGTTGAAATTAAATATTAATTATATTTAAATAAGCATTTTGAAATTCTGTTAATATTGTTGTTAACAGGGGCATATTCATTGAACAGAATTTCAAAAAAAAAGAAGATTTTTGAAAACCGAAATTTTTTAAAAAGAATTTAATTTTTCACGTTTTATATTAAAAAATATTTCGACAGCAACTCATTATTAGTAAATAAACATAAGTTGATTTCACATATATCTGTGTATATATGAACTTTAATATGCTGTAACGATGCAATGATTCAACTACATGATGAGACCAAATTCAATTTTGTATAATTTCGAAACAGATTGGGAAACCTAGATGCTTACATACATACATATACATATGTATACATATATATATATATAATGTTTGTACTACGATCAATTTACTGAGATTTTAATGGGTGCACAAACTAACTACAACAAGTAATAAACAACAACAAAACTATACATAAAAATATTGTATAGGTGAATAATGAACTTTTTCAATAATAAAAGAATATGAAAATAGAATACCAACAGACAAACATTTTTGATATGAATGAGTCCGTTGCACGATACTCTCTGCCGCCGGTGCATTGTAGATGTGGTGAAAATATGCAAACGAGTATAGTGGCTTTATTTAGATAAGACATTTTAACGTACGATATTACATTACGATATTGCCGTTGAGAGGAAATTGACATTCATGGTGTACTAAAGCGATACTCATTTACTCAGTTACTGATTACTCGAGATTTCATACGTTGTTGCTACTTTGGATTTTGTTGACTGTAGTTGTTAAAATGTAGTTGTTGTGAATACTCAGATTCTAGCCGATTACTTAATGGAAATTTCCAGTATATGCTCGTTTTAATTTTTTTATGCCAACTGCAGTTGCAAATAGTTGTTGCTACCATGAGCTTATATTGTATGTAGTGTTTGGCGTGGTACATACTTTGTTGCTACAATTTATTGTAATTTATTTTTAATTTTTCCAATTAATTGCGCACGGGTAGAAGTTTTGTAATTTTTTCAGCTGAATTTAACGTCGGTGATTGTGTTGAAACTGCTTGAAAAGGCGTTGTTGCTGTTGTTGTTATTATTGTATCTGTTGTTGTTGTTGCTGTTGCTGTTGTCGTGAATTGTGGTGTATTTATATTATTATTGCTATTAGTAATGAGAAGATTTGGTGAGTTCAATAAACGATTTATATTCTCAACTAAAGCAACTAGCTGTGATCGATCAACACCAACAGCCAACGGCAACGCATTTGTTTGTATTGGTGTTTGTTGTTTTTGTTGTTGTTGCTGTTGTTTAGGTATTGTGTTGGGATTCAGGAACTGTTGCATACCTACTTCACCATCAAATCGCCCCAGATAGGTGGCTGGCATTGTTGGTGTTGGCAGTGTTTCGGCAGCAATAGTTCCTGGTGTGATTGTATTCAAAATATCGGAAATTAAGGATGAGTTGATAGGTGATGATTTTGTTGTAGACGTAATGGTTGGGCTGTTTGTTGTAGGTGTAGTGATTGTGGTGAAGGGATTTTCTGTTTGAATTTGAGTTGTGGATGTTGTGGTTATATTAGGAATATTATTGTTGTTGTTGCTCTTATTGTCAGCAGCACTATTTGGGCGCTGAGGTTTAACTCTCGGTATAACAAATATGGAATCAATGGTTGTTGTGGGTAATGTTGTTGATGTAGGGATCGTTGGTGGGGTTGTAGGTAGAAATGTCGTAGCAACTGCGCTGACAGTGGTGATTGTGGTAGTAGTTGGAGTATTGGGAATTTCAATTGGCCGACTGGGAGTTGCAGTTGTTATTTCAATTGTACTCTCTGGACTTTTAGTTATAGCTGTCTTTCCAGTTGTTTTCATTATTGCTGCTGCGGTCGTTGTTGCTGTTGATGTTGTAACGCTAGTTGTTGCTATGTTGTTGGCGCCTTGCCGAAAACTCACATTATCTGCAGCAGCATTATCTGATGGCAAAGTTGGCAAGACAATATTTACACGTGAGGCACCACCATTATCGGAGCTACCATTGGACGTTGCAGTGCCTTGTGTGGGTGTAGCGGTATCACTCTTGCTGAAAACACTATTATTCTCCTCCTTGCTAGTATCATCTTCGTCCTCGAAATCTGCATCGAAGTCGGAACGTTCTGTTGTGGGGCGATTGTTGCCTAGAAAAGCGGGCAATAGACTGGGTCCGGCAACGCGTATTACCTGGCCTATTATACGATTAACTATGCCGTCGATTTGCTATAACGGGAAGGGGGAAGAGTGCAGTAGAATTCAAACACAACAACAAAATTGATGCTATGAAACGTTTACGGCATTCTACACTGTGGTGGATGAATTGAATTTGGATACTGGTATGGTTTCGTTATTCTATAATTCTTCTGCTGGATCGATGCGTATGACGAAGACAGCCAATTAGGTCAGTTTTTTCATTTTTTTTTTTTTGTAAGCAACCAATTACAATTTCTTCACATGAGAACTATTTTATGAGCTACTTTTACTTAGCAGAATGAGCAAATATTAAAAAAAATAGTAATATATGTATATATAATTGAATATAAGCTAACAGAGATAAATTGTAGAAAACTTAGCGTAAATGTGGAGTTTGAAATAAATTCAATCAAGCTTGAGTATGTACATATACTAACGAGTACTTCATACACTCAACTACTAATTATTATTATTGTATTTACAATAACAACATACAGAATACTGGCATAGTAGACACTAAGCAGGTATTAAAAAAAGTAAAAATTTAAGCAAAATAAAAATTAAAAACTATTTAAATCTAAAAAGGGGCAGTAAGAATTAAGTCAAGCTAAAACAATTAAAGTTGGATTTTTGAATTATTAAGCATTTTTTTTCAAACGTTTACGAACTTCTGGTAAAAGTGTAATAGTTTCTTTGCTAATAAAGGGTGTTCCAATAAGAGGTGTTATTTTGAGTAGTTTGCCAGTTCGATGGACGTCACTTTTGAAGCTGTACTTTTTTGACATTTGACAAGTAAAAACTATGGCAGTAATAAAAATGAATGATACAGGCTTCAACAATGCATTGAAATGATAAAAATCTACTATAAAAATGGTGAAAAAATGTCAGAGATTGTTCGTAAAGTTAAACCATTTTTCGGTCTTAGTGAAGCACCTTACTGGGGCGCAATGCAGAAATTGGTGGAAAAAAGGAGTTGTTGGGACAATTTAATGAGGAATAAAATACATGCACGTCGCTCAAGAACAATTAAGAATATTGCTGTTGAAGCCCAAAGTGTTGCAGAAATCGCAGGTTTGTCCATTCCTCATCGTTCTGTGGAATTGAGCAATCCACAAATGTATTTTGCATAAAGACTTGGGTCTTAAGGCGTATAAAGCTCAGTTAATACAAGAACTCTACTCAGCCGATTTGGTTTTGATCTTTGAATTGCATGAAAATTATTCGGTTTTTCATCGAAAAATCATCTTGACTGATGAGACCCATTTCAACCTAGATGGCTACGTTAATAAACAAAATTGTTGTATCTGGGGCTCGAAAAATCCAAGATTTATTACTGAAAAGCCTCTCCATCCTCAACGTGCAACTGTTTGGTGCGCTTAATGGTCCGGCGGAGTCATTGGACCTCTCTTTTCGCAAATAAGGCTGGAACAGCAGTAACGGGGAATGAATTGCGCTATGGAGAGATGATTATTAATTTTTTTTTGGCCGGTATTTGTTGGTATTAATCTGGGCAACGTTCACTCTAAACAAGACAGCGCTACGTGCTGCACAAGTAAGGAAACCATCGACCATCGACCATCTTTTAAGAGAAACATTTCCGGACCATGTTGTCTCTCGAAGAGGTGATCGCAATTAGCCACCGAGATCTTGTGCTTTAACAGCTTGCAACACCTTCTTTGAGGTCACATGAGAACTACGCCAACATACCAATGTTAATTCTAGATTCGATAAGCCTACAGCAGCCACATTGCGATTTGGTGGTGCAAGATTTCATAATATGAAATCGTGGCGGTCATTTGGCTGATATTTTGTCTATTATAAATGTCATCCTTTTTTATCCTTTTCAAGTTTGAAACAAACATTCGTTAATTTAACTAAAAAAAAATTTAATTTTTCTTTGAATATCAAAATAACACCTCTCATTGGAGAACCCTGTATACGTAAATAGTGTATGGATTGTATATTGGATGGGATTGGGGCAACACATGCAAATTCTTTGCAAAATTTAGATCTAATATTCGCACAGAAATTGTGCATTCCAACTAAGAGAAGAAAGAAACATTTAGCGAAAGTCAAAAGCGGGCCAATATTATAACGGTTTCAGCAAATTTTGAGCTACGTAGTTAACAATTCCATTGTGTGTTTTATGTGTGTTGAATAGTGTTGCTTCTTTAATGCTATTAATACTTTTTGGATAATTTTTTTTTATTTTTTTTAATTTTTTTTTTTAAATTTTTTTTGTTGTTTTTTTTGTGTTTTTCTTTTTTAATTTTTTTTTGTTGATTAATAATTTTTCCTGAATATTTGCACTCTATTTCTTTATTCTCCAGCCTTTTTTCTGCGTCCAAATTCAGCATCCGGTACAAATACAGTGTCAGGTATATCATCGAGATCATCCTCAGCAGCACTTCCATCAATTCCACTTTCATAAAAATTCCCACCATCATTTTCAGAGCGCTCGTCGTTGGCTTTACCTTTATTATTCGTAGAAATATCATCACTGTCATTATCTTCATCACTAAGATCATCAACGCCATTTGTACTATTGGTACGACGGCCAGCAGTTAAGTTCGGATTGAGTGCGGTACCCAGTAGTATGGGGCCAATTTCTTGTAATATGCGATTTACAAAACGATTAACCTCTTCGTTAATGGTCTGTATGTAGTAGTAGTAGTGAATTTCGTATATGAGTTGACGAAATTTATGTAAAAACAGTTTTTTCAACAATAAAAGCAGGAAAGGGTTAGGGGCTTTCGGGTATGACTCACAGTTTTTTTTTAATAAAAATCTGTTCTTCGGTCGGTACGCGAATATTATACTTTATTTTTCATAATTACTTAAACTTATAAGAAATTTTTTGCATAAGATTTGTAGTTAATCTAGCGATAGCTTAGTGGGTCAAGTTCCTATAGCATAAGCCGCTTGAAATTATATGCCAAAGGCAGTCACTCTCCAAATCGATCATGCCCTGACTTATGAGAAACTAACTGTCATTCTCTTTGTACTGCTTAAAATACGGGAACAAATTAGCTATGAATTTTTGTTGTTCAACATTTCATACGCCGTTATAGCTAGTGGTATTTAAATTTTAAGAAAAACATTAAGGCTAAGAGTGATCAAATCTGGATCAAGAGTTCGAAGAGGACGGAAGTTTTGCTGAGACTCAAAGTCTGTCATTTTTCTCTTTCAAAGTATGGAAATACTCTTATTTCCTAGGCCTAGATTAGTTGAAATATTTACGATTAGAATGTTAATCTTATCAACAGACACCAAACACAATATATGCGTTAAATGAGGAAATTAGGAATTTAATATCCAGTTGTAAAACCCAGAGGGAAATCTCAGCTAAACTGAAAGTACACGCTGAAATTGTGAACGAAATTCGGAGTCAATTTACTGTTTTTGACACAAAAAATAAAACCGACCGCAAACGAATACTTAATGCAGTCCAGGAGGGAGACATTGCTAGCAAGATAAGAAGCGGGAAAGTCAAACAAGAGATGGAAATTAGTCATATCAAATTATTGTTTCAGCAGCCACAGTCAGAAGAGTTCTGCGATATGCTAACTTAAAAGGATAACCAGGGGCAAAAATCTTCCACGCGTCGGGTGTCATATGAAGCTACGAATGACATTTGCGAAATGGCTAGCAGGGGGTTATATGGTCGTATGAGACAAAAGTAAATCGTCAAAACCGGTCAAATGGTCGAGAATGGCGTTGGGGAAATAAAGACTCAACTACCGGAAACCACATCTTGTCAGGTCAACAGTGAACTTTGAAGGGGGTTCAATCATGGTTTGGCGCTGCATGCCCTCCGAGGGTGTTGGCTGGCTGACAATAATTGATGGAAAATGACAGTAGAGTTCTATATAAAGATTTTAGAAAATAGTTTATTGGTAACTATGATAAACTTCGGAGTTAATGCTGCTGATATTGTCTAACAACAAAAGAATGATACGAAAAATATGGTTAGGATCACTTTCAACTGGCTGCAAAACATAGGAATAGAGACTCTAAACTGAGCGTCACCATCTTGAGGCCTCATGAGCTATTAAAAAATCGAGTAGTGGAAAAATCGATAACGTTATAGCCTAAAAGCAGTCCAATCATGGTATTCCATTGCACCAGAACAGTGCGAAGCCCTTGGAAATAGCAGGTCTAATAGAATAAAGGTGGTGGTTACAAAAGGTATTAATAATATTTTTTTTTGTGTTCTGATATAAAGCCATGTAATTGATCTTATATAACTTTTTGTATTTATGTTTCCCTTTTTTATGTCATAAATAGTTTTGTAAGGAAAATTCCAATTATTTGAAAAAATTTTAAAAATAATTATTCAGCAAAAAATCTAAGTGAACATCCTTTGCGTGATCGCTTTTGTGAGTGACTGTATATATTCTCCGGCTTACCTGCTCACTAGTCGGAAAACTGAAAGATTTCTGATGAACTGCTATAATCTCTTATGGCAACTCACTACTTATTTTAGAATTGTCTTTTTAGAAAGGGCAGGCAATCCCTAAATTAAAGAGCAAAAACTACCTACATGAGACTGAGTTAATATCCAATGAAAGGAAAAAATAAAACTCAAGAGCAAGCAACCTAACAAGATTAAAGTTATGTAATAAATAAATAAATATATATATGTATTTTCACTGAAGCGTAGACTTTATTCCTATCAGGCTCAAGCTGTTAAATAAACACACCTCAAATAGTGTCATATTTTACTTGATTATTTCCTTAACTATATATAAAATGCAAACCATTATTATGCTACTTGATTTTCAGACATTCCTTCCACGAGTACACTACATACTTATATATGAATATAATTAAAAAAAAAAGTTTTAAATAAATTTTTATATTAAGCATGCCGTTGGTCAACTGTGAATTGATTATCATTTAAACAATTGACAAAACCTAATGTCACAATAGTCAATGCGGGAGGATGCGTCAATGATAACTGATAGTTGTTGTTTTTTACTTCATTGATTAGAGTTTTACTGCTTATTATGCACAACAGTATGCGTACATACTCGTATATTGGCAGCGACAATACCTAGATATACATATATACTCGTACTTGCATGAGTAGAGTAGACAAAGAATTAGTGAAGGTGAAGCTTTGTTTGATTGTTTCTTTTCTTCTTTAACTTAAATACTATTTTTGTCTATAAAATGTATACAAATTTAGACATAATTAAATTTACATTCTTATTAAAATGATGCTGATTTAAAAAAAAAACACAAAAAAATAATTGATGAGCACTAAATGCATATCTACTTATGTAAATGTGGTTCGTTTTTTGAATTTTTGGTTTTTGATGCTAAATGTTTTCAATGAGAAATTCAATATAGTACCTTTGTGATATCTGGGAACAGTTCACGCAGTAGACCAATCGTTCGTTTATTTCGTTCAGCGATTATTTGTTCTTGATCTTTGGCGCCCAGTGTTAGAACGTCTAATTCCTGTAAAAGAAAGAAAGAAAAAATTGTTTTGTGAATAAAAAGTTAATTGAAAACTTTGTTAAAAATTAAATGACTACATTAAACTTCTTATGATTTTCCAAAAATAAGTGTAATTTTGATAATCAAAGAAAAATGGCATTTTTTGAGTCAAATGATTGGAACGGATCGGTCAATTTAACAAAGAAGATATGTCATTAACAACGGAAAAAAATAGCAGACACGAGACTATTCGTAAGATTGCTGCTGTATGCCCGTGATAGAATTCCATCTTTGAGGTCTTGAATCGACGTTGGTCTTTTGGTGAAGATCTTTTTTCACGTGTCCCCAAATAATGGAATCCATGTATTTAATTACACGATCTTGGTTACCAATTATAAGACCTGGTGCTTTCCTAAAGTTCACTTATAATTTGATCAGATTGTTTTCGTGGTTTCTGGAAACGATTTTTACGTAGAATATTTTTGGGAAGTGTACCAGAGACTGACTTATTCGGAAGAATCTTATTTATGGCTCGATTTACTTGAGATTCAGTGCATTAGCTGATTTTTGCCACGGCTAAGAGGAAAACTACGCTTCCTCCCGGTTGGCCGACCAGAGACTGACCTATTCGGAAAAATAGTTTTTTTTTTATTAAATTAAATATATTTGAATTTTGGTCCATAGTTCGGACAGCGTTTGTAATCATCAGCTTAGAATTGTTTGTAAAACGTTAAATGTTGCCTTCCCACAGTTGTTGATTGGTTAAAATTATGATGAAATCATATCCAATGCCTCATTCTTCATACATTCAACGAGTATTTACCACCGCGAAGGGTTGCAGGGTACAGATAGTAATTAAATCATAATAAACACAAGAAAAAAATATTTATGTAATTAACACATTATATATACGCACACACACAAATTTTAAGGCACTGCCAACCGGCAGCTCCACTCTTTGTCACTCTCAATTTGTTCAAGTTTAGTGAAAGTGTTGGTTCGGTAATAAACATTTACGCATTCACCTCTTAGTCAAATATTTTGCAATTGTGAGTGAATTAAAAAATGAAACAAAAACAACATCAACTTGTAGAAGAAGCATTTGTAATAACAACAGACAAAAATATTTACATATATTTCGGTATGCACGTTTGTATTTTATGTTTTATGTAATTTTGTTATTAAGATGTAGTCTGCAAAAAAAAAGTTTTTACTTTTGACTGTCTTTTGTATTACGATTGTAATGTTGGCACTGTCGGATATAGACAATTATGTTAAGTCATTAAATCCACATAGTAAATTGGCTTAAAACGACACCTGGTCAGAACTAGTTCAATGAGGCATTGGACTTTAAACATCTCGTGTTCTCTTTCATAATTGCACGTTTTATTTTTACATTTTGCACGACAATTCAGTTTTCACGAAATAATAGTGCGAAAATAATTTTTGTACTTTTTTTTATAATATTTCGTAATTTCAGTTTTAATATTTTAAAATACTTTTTTTTATTATGTTAAAATTTAATACCCACATATATTTATGCAAAACATAAATTAAAGCTTAAGTAATTGATTTGATTGAACTAATTGCAATAACTACGCAGCTGGGAGAAGGTATACTAGTATGCAAAACTTCTACTTAAATACTAATATTTTGAAGAGGAAATGTTGTTTTTGTTGTTGTTGTAATCGCAAAACTTTGGGGAATGTTGCGGGAGTGATATGGACGGATAAAAATTCGGGTCGTTCCGGTAAAAAAACCCGAATGGCGGGGAAACTCTTGGATTTTAGTCGCCTCTTATGACAGGCGTGCCTTACCGCTGGTAAATTCTTGAATTCTTGTTGGTTAGTTGTTTGGAGCTGTACACCTGCACGCCTCTGCTGAGTTCCATTATCTGCGCTGCTCTGTTGAAGTGCGCAAAATGAGGTTCACTGCTCCATCGTAACGATAGTTAAGTGATTATCGAGAAGTTATCACTGCAGTGTGTTAGGCTCACTGTTGACATATTTTCTTATTACTGGTGAAGTAGAAATTTTCATCACTACGCCCTCTGTATGCTGTTGTTATTCTTAGTACGCCATGAATGAGTTTAGTTTGCTAATAAGCCCTATTGGAATGTACAGCTCTTATTGCTCTCTACAATATAACGATAGCCCATTTCATTTGATTAGAGGATATTACTGGGCACGTTTCAATTCACATTGCAGCTACACTCAATTTTATTTCAGTTTTTTGTTTTGGCGTAAATAAACTGGTATGTAACTAGTATGAAGCTGATACATAGTTGCACAATTGACAGTTCGTAGGGCATCTCACGTTATAAATTCCAGTTGCTTACATGGTAAATAGGTGGACGATGAACTAGTTATTGCAAAAGTGCAAACTAGTTGGATTCTAGTTCACAACTGCTATTTCTCTCTGCAGGGTAACAAGTGCAGACCTGTAATTGTGGACTGCTGTAACTATTAAAAATATTTATTGCGGCGCATAATCTTAACATGAATCGATTTGCAAACGAATTTTGCTTGAAAGTTTTATATATATTTTAAAATACAGCCGGTGAAAGACTGAAGCAGCATGACCTACCCCAACGGTGAACTTTTGATGATTGGATGGTGGCAATTTTAATCGAAAAATTGTGTTCAGTGGCGGAGTTCATTTCTTGTTGAATTTATAAGTGTTCAAAAAAGTTAGCAAGTACTAAAAATGTATACCGAAAAAGCCGGCATCATTGTGCCGTACTTTTCCAAATACAAGAAAACCGTGCGATAATTGAAAACTATATTTATGCCCAAAATAGAAGCGCTAGACTTGGCTGGTATATGTTTTCAACAATACGGTGCCACGTGGCATAGATCACGGGGGACAATAGTCTAATTGAAAGTCGAGTTCAGTGAGCCCGGATGGGGCCGGTCGATTGACCGTCGTTTGGATCGCGTAATTCAACGTCTTTAGCCTATTTTTGCAGGTTTATGTTAAGTCTTAGGTCTACGGTTATAAGCATGCCATGATTGGCGTACTGGTAGCCAATATTGATGATTTTATTTGTGAGATACCAACCGAAATGTTGGAGAGAGTATGTCAAAGCTGGACCGAATGTATGGAGAAGCCGCAGCAAAAATTTATTTCATAATGTAAGCGCACATTTAGCTTTCAAAAAAATGATATTAATATTAAGATTAAAATTAAGTTTGTTCATTGTTACGGCCAAATAAAGAAATCTACATAATTATTTCAGACTTAAAAATTTTTCACTAGATAACATTTTCTAAAGGGATGTAACAGATAAGAATCAAATTTAAACATTAATTCGTCTACTACTGATTTTTTTTATATTACTACCAAGTCTTCTGCTATGGTACTACATTACTAAGCACTTTAAAGTTTACAGATCGGATTGAGAAAACATAGTTTATATAATAAAATAAATAGGCAAAGGTGAGTAAAGATGAAAATCTTTAAATGTTTCCAAAGAGCGCTACTGTGATAGAACATTAGTCTTTTGGAAAATGCTTTTGAATTTAAAAACCATAGATCTCTGCATTAGACATTAAGCATAAAATATGAGTAATCGCTCAATTGCTATATGAGTATGTTCTTATTTCTAGGCATTCATCAAGTGAGACACTTTTTAAAGTTTTTTCAGTGTTTTCACTTAACAGCTTTGCTGTAACGGTTATTAATTTGTCGTATTTTTTCAATTTGTTTATTTTTTTATATTTTTCTATTTATTTTTAAATAACATTAACTTTATATATATCTAACAGCTGCTGCACTTGACAGATGAAATAGAATTAAAGGTCACGTTTTCTTGGTTAACAATTCAATTATTTATTATATATATAATATAACAAAATAACAACAATGTAATCGTACAATTGCATGCGCTGCACTTATCGCCGTCTATCGTGACACCACAAAAAATAATTGAATAAGTAGCAATCTTGGAAAATACCACAGTGTTGTGGGTTATTCGCAATGAAGTTCATTGAACATTGAAACAACAAGCAAAGCAAAATATCAAACAAATTGCTGAACTAAAGTTAACAATTAAATGTTGCCACAATTTATTTAATTTTAAAATTGAAGTGATTTTTTTAAAATTAATTTCAGGTTTAAATTCGTATAAAATTGAAGAAAGAATTCGCAGTTAAAAAAAAAAACACTTTTGAAAATATAAAAAATTTTGGAAGGAAGAAAAAAACCATTCATTTATTTTCAAACAAAACCGTGCTTCAATGGGTGGCAACTCTGTGGAACTCCACATTTTATTGAAAAAAAACTAACGAGAATCAAATTTCAAATTAGTGGAGGCCAAAATCGCTTCTGCCATTGTAAAGCGAGCATTTATATTTTTTGAAAAAGTAAAGTTCATTGATCACACCAAACAGTTGCACTTTGAGGATGGGGAATCTTTTCAACAATAAATCTTTGGTTTTCCGAGCTCCGGATGCGACAGTACTGAAAGCAATCGTTGTGGAAAAGTGTCTAATCAGTCAAGATGATTTTTCGATGAAATTTTTGTAGTGAATTTTATTAATTTCAGCGCGATGTCGAAGCGTATGCCGTTCCATTTTTGCTACCGACGTAGTTTTAACTTCACAAATGTCAAAAAATTATAGTTTCAAAAGTGAAAAACTACTCTTGTTGGAAAACCGCTCAAAAAGCTAAATAAATTTACGTAATTTTATTAACACTATTTTTCTAACATGGCAACCATAAATACTAACTTAAGAGAATTTACTTAAGAGAGCATTTCCAGCAACAACAATTTAAAAAAATTAAACATTGCCAGGTGGCACACTGTTAGATGAACTTAAGAAACGCTTAAACTACAACAAATGTTGCAGCAAATTGGCACTGCGGACGAGCGCTAATTACACTGGCATGAGTTAAAAGTGAAATTCACATCATTGTTGAATTTTAAATTTCAAATAGAGCCATCAACGAATGCCATGAGCTGTGTGTATGGTATTCGTGAATAGAAAAAGTACGGAGTAGAGTTTGATTAATTAAAAATT